CTTCAATTCGAGAAGCTATATGCCCTCATGAAGAAGCGTCATTTCATGATAACACAGATATGTTTTTTGGGTTGCATTGTATCCGGTTTAGGCATTCATATAGATATCATGAAGATAGATGCTATTGTGAGTTTGACACCTCCATAGTTCTTTATAGAGTTGAGGTGGTTTCTGGGGCTGGTATCCTTTCATAGGAGATTCAATAAGAGCTTCACACCATTATTGTTCCCCTGATAAAGGTCTTGAAAGGAGAGAAGTTTCAGTTCACAGAGGCAGCTCAGGCTAGCTTTGACATCCTCAAGAAGAAGGTGACTCATGTCTCAGTGTTAGCACTAACTAATTTCAGCCAATTATTCGAAGTGGAATGTGTCGCTTCTAATGTGGCGACTGGAGCAGTATTGAGCTAGGAAGGCCACCCCTTAGTCTTATTTAGTGAGAAGTTGAGTGACTCCAGGATGAAGTATTCAACATATGATAAGGTGTTCTATGCTATTATGAGAGCACTTAATCATTGGAGTAACTACCTGTCGACTAGCGAGTTTACCTTATTCATAGATCATGAGACTCCGAGATTCTTGAACAATCAAAGCAAGCTGAAGAACAGGCATTCTTTGTGAGTTGATTTCTTGGCTTCATTTTAGTACGTGCTCAAGCATAAATTAGGGAGTCAAAATCGAGTAACAATTATCTTGATCTGTCACCCCTTATTGATCAACTCCATCCAAACTAGAGTTATGGGATTCGAGGTGAAGGACTTTTACGAGGTAGATAAGGACTTACGAGAGATTTCAGATCAATGTCAGGAGAGACCTACATGACAGTACCATCGATCTAATTGCTACGTGTTCCACCAGAACATGTGTGTTCCTAGATGTTCATTGAGAGAGTTTATCATACATGAGAGTTACAATGGGCGATTAGTAAGACATTTTAGCAACGACAAAATACTTCACTTGTGAGGAACATTTTTTCTGGCCTAAACTGACGAGGGACATACAAAGGTATGTCAAATAGTGCAATGTTTTCATCTGACAAAAACCGGGGGCATAATATAGGGTTATACACTCCATTACTTGTATCAGAGGCTTCATGGGTAGTTCATAGCATGAATTTTGTTGTGAGTCTTTTTATGACACAAAAAAATAAGGATTCAGTGATGGTAGTGGTTGAGAAGTTTTAAAAAATGTCTCATTTTGTACCTTGCAACAAGACACTGGATGCATCACATGCAACTGACATGTACTTACGAGAGATTGTGAAACTTCATGAGATACAAATGACTATTATTTTTGACAGAGATGTTATGTTCCTGAGCCATTTTTGGATTTTCATATGGGAGAAGCTTGGCAGTAAGCTTCAGTTTAGCTTAGCAGCTCACCCACATACAGATGGCTAGATAGAAGTGGTGAACGAGATTCTAGGGAATCTCCTAAGGTACTTTATAGGGAAAAACATCAAGCAGTGTGATATGATTCTAGCCCAAGCTGAATTTACACACAGTTGATCCACGACTCAAACTAGAGGGCATACTCCCTTTGAGACTGTCTATGTGCGTAATCCACTCACCCCACTTGATTTGGTACCACTTCTACCTATTGCAGAGTTAGGTGTGGATACTAAGGCTAAAGTGCAGGAGATTCAGAGGCTACATGAAGAGTTTGGGGAATCTTCTGAGGCGCTTTATATGGAAGAACATTAAGCAGTGTAATATGACTCTAGCCAAAGCTGAGTAAGCTTCAATTCAGCTTAGCAGCTCACCTACATACAAATGGCCAAATAGAGGTGGTGAACAAGATTCTGAGGAATCTCCTGAGGTACTTTATAGGGAAGAGCATCGAGCAGTGTAATATGGTTCTAGCCCAAGCTGAATTTACTTACAATTGGTCCACGACTGAGACTAGAGGGCATACTCCCTTTTAGATTGTGTATGGACACAGTTCACTCTCCTCATATGAGTTGGCACCACTTATTTCTACTTCTGATGTTAGTGTGGGTGTTGAGGCTAGAGTGCATGAGATTCAGAGGCTACATGAAGAAGTTAGGAAAGTGATCACCAAGCAAAACTACAAGTACCAAGCGTAAACTAATAAATCAGGATGAATGTGACTTTTCTGGAGGGAAATCTATTGTGATTTAAAGTGAAGAAAGAGAAGCTTCTGATGGGATCTTTTAGGAAAGTCAAACCCATATTAGATCTACCTTTCAAGATCCTTAAGAAGTTAAATGGCAAAGCTCACATGATTGACTTATTGGGGGATTATAACATTTTTGCCACCTTTAACGGACCGACCTTACTCCATACTATGACGAGATAGAAGCTTCAACGAATGATGTCGAACCTCCCCAAACTTGGGAGACTAACACGGGCATCTGATGGTCGCATGGCATCCCAGGGATGCCTAGACAGAACCGAACCGAGGAGTATTAGGGCCAATCAAACCCTCAAAGATTAGGGAGTGCCACCCAAGGGGAGTGGGATTCACTTCTAGTTGTCCTAGACCTTTTTATTTATTTTCGTTGGTGTCAAGGGTTAGTTTTTGCCGTGTTTGTTTTGGGCAGCCCTCGGTGTCTCTCTTTTCCCTTTTATAACTGTATCATAGGGTTCCAAGTTGTGCTTCTATTGTATCTTGGACTTCAGGTGGTGTTTATCCTTCCGATACCCTTTTCCATCCCTTCCTGCATTTACTCACTTCACCATCATCACTTGTATTCCCTTCCACCTGTGTTGCCCCTTCTCTGAAAACAGCAGCCTGCTGTTATCTCTCTACCTCTGATGCCGCCCCCTCTGAAAACAGCTAACTGCTGTTTTTTCTTCCCCTTAACTTTTTGCCGCCCCCTGACACAACCACCTGCTGTTTGCTTCCCCCTCCACCTTTCTGCCATCACCCAAATCCACCGTTAACCTAATTGTTCCTCTTTGCCAACCACTACTTTCCACCACCCCACCACCTTCCAAACCCCTAGCCACACCACCTCCACCCTAGATCCATGCAAGTCTAGCATTGTGTGTCATTTCTGTTGCAATCTCAGATTTTCATCGGGTTTTGTTGTAATTTTATATTTAAATTTAACAATAAAATTTGTTTTTCATTGGGGTTTGGTTAAACCCTGGTATCTCTTATTCTTTTTTGGAGTTCCATTTACTCTTTGTTTTGGGAATGTCATCTAAAATTTCAACAATTTTAAATTTTAGCCCCTCGATTTTGGTTTGCTAAGCATGAGTGTTTTTGTATTGATTTATTAGAACGTTTTAATTACTTGTCTTGTTGTGTTGTTTCCTATATTCTTTTCTTATGCAATTAGTCTTTTTATATACATCAGACCTGAGAACGTCTCTTTTTTTATACCTTGAATCTTTTTTTTTTTATTTATTTGGATGCAAACTTCTGCTGATGATAGCTAACCTTCAGTTTTGAGAGGGCCCTTGGTGCTTCATAAGCATAATCGATTGATTGCTTTCTTCTCATCGAATTTTTATGAATACCTTTTTCTTAAAAAAAAAAAAATTTGGAGGTTGAATTCCAAGAATGTGATCATGAAATTCATTACGATCCTTGTTGAGGTTGATGAGTAACTTCTTTGTTTTTATTTTCTCCACGTTTGATTTCTGTTCCAGCACGCCAATTATTTGGCACTTGTACTTGAGATCTCTAGCATGATCTTGTAATTCATTTAATTTTTAATATTAGAATATATCATGTTGACTTTTTCCCATATTTGTTTTGTGATATTGCGAACCATGTACAAAGAATCAAATTGTTCTTTAATTGATTTGAGGAGCCACGACATTTCTATGAAGTAACCAATCTTTCTCTATTTGATCAAATTGTTCTTTTAACTGAATTGATATTATGAACTTTTGAATGTCCTAAGGTACCTTTCAAGGAACCAATCATTTTTTATGCTTGGATCATTGTTTGGATTGAGTGGGACCATTGAAAGAAGTTTGCCCATTACGTTTTCCATGGAGACTCCCTAATTTGTACTATGGCTTTGTTAAGGAAAAGGAGGAGACACTCTTCTACCCAACTTTGTTTGACTTCGTTAAGGCCCTTTTATAGCTTCTGCCGATCTTTTTTAGCTCGAGGTTGACTTGAATACCATGATAAAAATAGCTCGAGGTTGACTTGAATACCATGATAAAAAGAAGAAATCTAGCAGAGAATAAGAGAATAATAATTATTCAATACCAACAGCTTGGTCGAATGTGGTCATTTAAACTTTTTTATGATGGTGTAAAAATGGAATGAAATAAACTATTTTTGGTAGTAAGGATATCCTATGAAATTGCAGTTAATACATTTCACAAATAACAAAAATGCAGTAGAGAGAATACCTTAGAAATTTTTATTAAGTTTTCCCATATGAGGATCTTGTGGTTAGATAGGAGTTCGCCAACAGCCATCTAGGGTTGGACCAAAATATTCTTAACCTGCTTTCCAACTAGGGTGTTGACGAAATTTAATAAAATTATTCTTTTCCATCTTCCAAAGCACTGCAGCAGGAAGAAATAAGACACCAACTAGTTGTCCAATTTGATAAGCATTGCACCAGGGAATAAAATCGCAGCAGCTGATTTTCCTATTTGAGAATAAATTAAGGGAGGAAATATGTATGCAGCCTGTTTTAAACCGGCACAATGAGAGGAATTTTTTTTCCCTGTATTATTCTCTCGTATGCTCGACCCCACTTGAATCTTAATTTGACCTACCATGTTCTGCTAACTTATATGCATATTACTAACGTGAAAAAAAGGAAGAAATGATTAAATGGGAATGGGTTGGTGTTTAACCAACAAATCTAATTACCTTTCTCACACTTTTTCTTTGCTATTTATTTGTTCTTCCTACTTCCTTGTTAATGCCGTATGCATGTGAGATTTTATTTTATTTTCTTTAAAGAATCCTAAGTCATATTCTTTTTTTTGGGTTTGATTGGTAGTTGCTCCTTATAATTGGTGACAATTCACGCATAACATGCTTAGCCTTTTCCTATTTCAGCTGGAAGTCTATGATGGTGAGACTGCTGAAGGTATTCCCCTTTCTCTTTTTGCTATTGCTTACATTAATTAAGATAACTGTTTTCCATTTTTCATTAGTAAGCCCTCTTAGGGACTGTTTTGTTGCAAGTAGTGTGCATTAATGAGGCTTAGAATTTAAACCAGAAATTTGTGGGTTGTTGTTGTGTATACTGAAACTTCTAGATCTTTCTGGTATCTAGCTAAAGATAAGTGGATTTGTCAGCTGACAATGATAGTTTTTTTTTTAATGCGTAATTAGATATTAGTTGAATACCTTTGTTTTTTATTATGACGGCCTATGTCATTATTACTCATTATTTGATATTTTCCCTGAATATTTTTTACTTTTTTTCTGTTTTATTTTCTTTCCTATTTATTTTATTCCGTTTTTATTGTTTTTTATCAGTATGTCTTGTAATTGGGTTTAAATACCACTCCCATCAATGGTCCAAATCTCAACATAATATCAGAGCTTAACCCTAGATCTAGCAACCCTCGGCCTCCTTTTGCTGGTTCCAGTAATCACCGCCTCCACCTACTCCTAGCTGGTGATCCCCTTTGTCGCGGATAGCGAATTGTAGGAATCCCACGGTTCAAGCCGTTGACCCAACGTTCCTGTTCCTTGCAATTATTTTTCAATTCCTGAAGAAATCTAACCCTAGATTTATGTCCGTTAGGTTCCTTTCCATCAAGAAATCTGTCTGAGTTTTTTGGTTTACAATTCTAGAAGGAATCTCCCTATTTCCTGCAGGTTTCTGTCCGTCTTATTGAAGGGTCCCTACAGTTTGTCCTGATTCATTGACGGTTCTCTACTATCATGTGGTGCATTCCTGCTGCCGCTATTTTAATATATTGCAGGAATCATTGAAGGATCGCAGATTTCTTCTGCTGCCACTGTTCTACAGGAAGAATTCCTGTAGTTGTCCTATTACCTGCATTCCTACAAGTTGTATCCATTTGTCGTGATTCTATCAAAATTCATCAATGGCTCATAACCACACAACATATCCTTTGGCTCAGTCGGAATTATGGCTATCTTTTTAATGAATCACCCTCAAAAGGCATTCTTGACTCCACCGCAGGTTCGACTCCAACCTCCGCTCCCTTGCAGACCGTTGAACTGGAAGCCAACCTAAATTTCTTGATGACAACTCATATGTTGAACGACAGTAACTTTCTCTAATGATCCCAAGCAGTGTCCTTGTTCGTCAAAGGACATGAGAAGTTCAGTCATCTCGCATGTATGATTCGTGAGTCTCCAAAAACTGACTCGATAAATGAAGCTTGGGAAGTGGAGAACTTTATGGTCATGTCATGATTGATCAACTCCATGAAGACTTCAATTGGTCATTCGTATATGTTCCTCTTTTCAGCTATTGCTCTCTAGACAGTTGTCCATGATACCTACTCTGATTTAGGAAATTCCGACCAACTCTATGAGATATTTAAGAAAATATGGGAGGCAAAACAGGGGTCATGGACTGTGACCCAATAATATAATGACCTGATTGCATTATAAATGGAATGCGACATGTACTTTGACTGCACTTAGGAGTCTTTGACCGACTTATCCCTCTTCCAGAAGATTGTATTAGAGGATCATGTGTTCCAATTCTTTGCTAGCCTTAACAAAAACTATGAAGAAGTATGGGGCCGTATTCTTGGTCGGGATTTTCTTCCTTCTGCTCGAGCTGCTACTACCAAAATTCTTTGAGAAGAAAGCATGTCACTTGTCATGCTCAATACTTCTACTCCTTCAGCTGAGTCGTCAGCCTTGATCTCAAATAGTGCTCAACCCTCGTCTATGCCCCCTCGAACCGGTCGTGCCTTATGTGATTACTGTCACAAAATCAACAACACTCAAGACAAGTGTTAGAAACTTCACGGTAAGCTGACATACAAACCTCTAACCAAATCCTCAGTTGCCGAGTGACTCACGGGGACGGCCCAACCAGGCACAACTCAACCAGCTTCTACCAGGAACATCCCAGAAACTTTTGAATCCCTAAAAAACCACATGGAGCAATAAATCAAGTTTCTATGATTCAAATAATTCTCGCATGTCCATCGACCTCCCTCGTTTGATAAGGCACTCTTCATATGGCCTTCACAGTTCATTCCTCTTCTAGTCCATGAATTATTGATTCAGGTGACACAGATCACATGACTGGTTATCTGCAACTTTCTCGACTCATTATCCGTGTGTTGGAAAAATACCATCAGAATTATCGATGGATTATGTAGCTTAATTGCTAGTAAATGGTTGATTATACTAATGACCGATCTAATTCTGGAGTCTGTTTTACATGTTCCCCGATTACAATGTAACTTATTATCACTCAACAAGTTGATCAGTGATATTGATTGCATTGCTAATTTTTCGTCTGATGGTTGTGTTTTTCAGAATCGTTGTAGTATTATTGGAACTGCAAAGAGGGTAGTTGAACTCTACTATTTTCAAGAAGATAACACGGAAACTGAAGATATGACACTAAAAAGTTGTAGTCTATCTCAAGTCGTTGAATGTCTCATTATGTTATTACATTGTCATTTAAGTTATCCTAGTTTTTAATATTTGAAAATTTTGTATCTTCTGATGTTTTCTAAAACAAAATCTTTCTAACCAATTGTGAGACATGTCAGTTAGCCAAACATCACCGGGTCCATTACCCACCTCACACTTATACACCTTCCTTTCCTTTCTCTCTCATCCACAGTGACATATGAGGACCTTCTACATTCCCAACTACACCAATAAATGACGGTTCTTGACCTTGATTGATGACCACACTTGAATAACGTGGGTCTCCATTTTAAAAAATAAATCAGAAGCTGTTGTGACCTTCCAAAACTTCTACACCTTTATCTTAATTCAAAAGTCTTATTCAGGTCATTCAGACTGACAATAGACGTGAGTTTTTCAACTCTATTTTGAGTGGATTATTCGTAAGTAAAGGGATCCACCATTATAGTTCTTGCACGAACTCTTCTCAACAAAATGAGGTTGTCAGGTGAAAAAATTGTTATCTCCTTGATGTTGCTCGCTCCATCATGTTTCAATCCAATGTCCTGAAACGTTTTTGGAACAATACCTTCTAATTGTGACCTATCTCATAATTAGAGTCTCTTCGAAAAATCACAAATTCTGAACACCCTTAGCCTTTCTGATTTCGTGCTTCCCTACCAATCGGGTCTTGTCCACTTTAGATCCCAAAATTTATGGATGTACTGACTTTGTTCGTAACACTGCCTCTACATGAATTAAATTTGATTTTAGATCAATGAAATGTATCTTTCTTGGATGCTCCGCATCTCAAAAGGGGTATCGATGCCTTGATCAAACCACAAACAAAATTCATATGAATGTTGATGTCTCATTTGAAATTATTTCTTATTTATCTTGCTCAACCTTTAGTGAAGGGGAGCTCGAGTTCCCTGACATTGCCCCTTATCCTACTCCTATAAATGGTCCTCCCATTGTTCTCACCACCAATAAGTCACTTATCCTATTGAGTGCACCATCTCCTCCTCCCACTGTTCGTGTCTACACTCGGTGCACCCGTTCTAATGCTCACTCAAGGGCCCGCTACCTCCATTTAGGACTTTTGCTCCACTCCGGGCGACATCCTCAACATAGCCCCTCCTTCAGAGGTGAATTCTCTGAATAAGGTACACAATCAAACATGCTCATTTTCTACGACAAAGTATGTCTTTCCACAATTCATCGCCAACCTACAGAGCATTTGCTGCCCCTGACGGACCATCAGATCTCTATTATTATTGAGTTTGCTCTTGTTGGTCGAGCCTGGAAAACAATAATAATGAAGGAGATGAATGCCGGTGGAACCATACGTGGGACGTCGTGAATCGTTCTCAGGGTAAGAAAGTTGTTGGATGTTGGTGATTTTTAGCACCTAGTTCAACTCTTACGGATCCTTTGAACGCAATATGGCAATATTGGTCACCAAAGATACTCACAGACCAACGAAGCTGACTTTGAGGAGACATTTGTTCCGGTGGCTAAGTTAAACACCGTTCGGGTCCTGTTGTCACTTCCGGTGAATATGAATTAGTCTTTATTCCGACTAGATGTCAAGAATGCATTCTTGAATAATAAGCTAACAAAAGAAATATTTATGGCTCTCCCTTCGGATTTTAACTATATTGCCTTCAAAGGACAAGTGTGCAAACTACGAAAGTCTCTTTTTGGGCTAAAGCTATCCCCAATGGCCAAGTTTGGCAAGTTCACAAATGTGGTCGTGGTCTATGGTTTTACTCAAGGCTCAATCGTATTTACACTCTTTTCTTCCGACACTCCTCCAATGACCAGATAGCTATCCTTAGTCTGTGTTGACGATATTGTTCTTACAGGTAATGATCTCCCAACATTTGAGTCCTTAAAAGACATTCTTGCTTCGTCCTTCAAGATGAAAGATTTGGGATCTCTCTGGTACTTTTTAGGCATAGAAGTGGCCCGACCCTTTCGGGGAATTTGTCTGTCTCAGCGGAAATATGTGATTGATCTCTTGACAGAAAATAATTTTTTTCTGTGCAAACCTATTGTTGTTCCTATGGATCCCAATGAAAAATTATTTGGCATTCCCAATGATGTACCTGTTAACAAAACTATTACCAACACCTTGTGGAAAAATTAATCTGCCTGGCCTATGCTCGTCCCGACATATGCAACGTAGTTAGAATAACGAGTCCTTTTATGTATGACCTTTACGAGTACCACCTCCAAGCTGTCCACTAGATTCCATACTACTTAAAAGGTACACCGAGCTCAGATTTGACCTTTTTCTGCCACATCTATCAGTCTATTGTTGTTTTTATATATGATGATTGGTTCGGATCAGTTCATGATTGGCGTTCCATCTCGGGATATTGCTCATTTGTACGGGGCAATCTTGTCATGTGGAAAAACAAAAAAATATTTTGTAGTCGCCTGAATTCCAATCCATGTCCTTAGAAATCTGAAACTCTGGTTACACATCGTGTTCAATGAACT